GGACAGGAGAAAAGCAGCCACCTGTTGCTCGATAGAATCTGACAGTTTCTCATCTGCGGCTCCGTCTACCTCTGCTGTTACTGCCCTTGTGTAACAAAGAGGTTTAACACACAGGCCAGTGATGATCACATTATTTTTCAGCATGTACTGCTCCAATTCCGACACTTGGTTCTCCAATAAAGTTAACCTCTTATCCTTCTCAGCATTCTGAAGTTTCAGTGATTTAACCTCATCAACCACATCCAAACTTGTTTTCTGCTGGAGTCCGGCAGCAGTGACCTCTTCTGACAGAATGTCCAGTGACTTTCTAATTTCATCCAGATCCTCCATTGCCATAGTCTTTTTAGGTCCCATCCTGACGTTGCCACCAGTTCAAACAGAATGCACATACATTAACTTCCTTTTGCTTTGACTGAAGTTTCACTGTAGCCTTGTGTTTGTCTGTTTGCTTCTCTGTCCTGTTTTTTGTGGATTACTGATGATTGAATAGAAGCCAAAGGCCTGAACAGGTGATCCACTCAGGCAAAGTCATTCAACAGGAGGAAGGCCAAGGCTAATGAAGATCCATCAAATATCAGCTCTTTCCAAAACCATCCAGTCTTTTAGTTCAGTAATCCTTCTTGTGAAACATTGAAATTACTTGTTACACGAAAAATATCCAACAATACTTGAGGAAAAACTTGAAAAAGGACAGATTTTGTGAGAGCCCAAGTCACCAACAACGGCCATCTTTGTCAAAGATACTCAAATTGATCCTGCAGTTGACCCTAAGATCAGCTAAAAGGATAAGTGAATTCCATGCTCTGTCTGTGCAGGCATCATATTTGCAGTTTTCTCCAGACTACAGGAATGTGATGCTGCAACCCAATCCTGTATTTGTACCTAAGGTCAGTGACACAGCATACAGATGTTTGTCGCTGAAGCTGCTGGCATTTCACCCCGTGCCATTTATGGATGAAGATGTGTAAATGCTTAATGTGTTTATCTGGATGGGACAAAGAGTTTATGTAAAAGTAACCAACTCTTTGTATCCTGAACTCAGAACCATAGGGGCAAGCCTCTGTCCAGCCAGTGGCTGTCGCACTGGATTGTGGAGGCAATCAGGGAGGCTACAGCCCCCAGAGCAAGTGAGAGCATACTCCACCAGAGGTACTATGTCCACCTCTTGGGCTTTTTTCAGGGGTTCTCATTGGGAGACATCTGTGCAGCTGCCAGTTGGGCATCTCCTCACATTTTCATTAGATTCTACCACATGGATGGAACTGGGACATCGCTGGCACACTCAGTCCTCAAGGTGGGTTCATTCCTCAGCACCAGCCCCTGACAGGGTCTAGGTGGGGGGGTTAACATTTAGATCTTAGATCTATAGGCTTCAGAGCATTCAATCTGGGAGTTGGTTATATCTCCCATAGTGAGATACCGAACGAGGTTTGAAAGAGAACTTTTGGTTTCGGAGGTAACCCTGGTTCTCTGAAAACTGAGTGAGGTATCTCACAATACTGCCCTGCTTGCATGATCGTGTGGAAGAAAGACACATGAGAATACCAAGTGTTGAGCAGGGGAGGTTATAAGAGGGGAGGGTGCCCCTGTGCCAACCATGCATTGGTCAGAGACAGACGTAGTTGTTGTGGATTGGCGAGGAGAATGAACCAATATCCAGACAGAGAATAAAGTTTCAAAAATAAGAATGTTTAGTATAAAAATTAAGTAAAGTGCTGACGAGGCAGCAACTAACAAAAAATCTAAGAAAACAACAAGGAAACACGGGGAGAACCAAAACAGATGATGAGACATCAAATAATGAACCAGCGAGGAAATGAGAACTGAACCGGGGTTAAATACAAACGGAGGGAATGAGGAAATTAGCTACAGCTAAAGAGAACACTAATTGGAAAGTACTGACAGGAGTGTGAATACTGAGGAGGGAAAAAGCTGAGGACAAAAGATGAGTAATGGCGCAGGGGAGACACAAGAGGGAGACTACAGACAAAACACAAACCCAACATTATCTCCCCCTCAATGAATTGTCTCCGACGATTAAAAGAACTAGCATGGGTGGGAGGAGTGGGTAACTAAACACAAAGACAGGACGGAGTGCACGAAACAAAATACAATAAGGGAAACACAAAACAAAAAGACAGAAAAACAAAAACAAAAACCAACAGGATGTCCTGGGAAAAAAATAAAATATAGTCACTATGATGGCCCTAGGCACATCTGAAAGGTCCAAAGAGTTCTGGTGGGCACCCAACAACCCAGCAAAAATGAAGAGGGGCCTCAGGCGGACAGCCGTGGACTTGGCCGTAGCGAAGGCGGAGCTCTGGTAGACAGCCCGAAACTCTGCCACGACGAGGATGGAGCTCTGGTGGATGACCCGAAGCTCTGCCACTGCGAGGATGGAATTCAGGAGGGGCCAGCTCTGGAGGCTCTGTAGGGGCCGGCTCTGGAGACTCTGCATGTGGCATTGAGAACTCTGCTGCAGACAATGAGGAACCCTCAGCTGCAGATGACAAGGAGTCAACTGCAGGCAGCGAGGATTCAGCTGCAGACAGCATCGATGTATATTCAGGAGCCTCAGGTAGACCCGGGGACTTAACAATCCCACCCGGAGATGCTGAAGACTCACATGCTGACTCCTGCTCCATGGACTCAGGTACTGCAGTAGGCGCTGCGGGCTCATCTGGTGCAGGTAGGAGGCGTTCCACCAGGACTACTGCAAATACCAAAGTCAGTGCCAAAACAGCAGCAGGGATTGTCACCACCACCTCTTCCCCCCTAAGACCCTCCCCACAGAAGGTAGAGATGTCGACCCTCTCTGGAACGCAGGGGGCAGTAGAGGCATGGACCCTCTCTGAGGCGCTGCTGGTTGTAGAGGTGCCAATCCTAACTGAGGCGCTGGGAGCACAGGAGGCAGAGAGACCTAATGGCTCGGCAGAGCTAGGACCAGAAGACTCACTGAAACTGGGGCCAGGGAACTCAAGGAACTGGACCCAGAACTCTTGCTGGGGCTGGACTCAGCAGACTTGGAGCTGGGACCAGAGAACTCAGCAGAGCTGGAACTGAGTTGCTCTGGGGTGACCACCACCTTCCTTCTACGGCGGCAGCGGCGAGAAGAGCTTGTAGGTGGAGCGGAGGTTTGGTCCTCCTCCTCGGGTGGTGGTGATGACGGTGGAGGAGGATCAGCAGGTTTCTGGACTGTTGAGGGGATAAGGGCTGCACGAAGGAGCTCTCTGTCATGCAGCGCTTCCTCAAAAAGGTCCAGCATGCCTGGGTGTGTGGCAAGACTAGAATGTTGAAAAAACATCTCGATGAATGCCTCAGTAGCCACCCAACTCCTCCATGGATCCTCAGCAGGACTTGTGGCATCAACAAAGGTGTGTAAGTACACTTCGCTGCAGCATGCAGAACGGGGCGGTGACAGACCTTTCCGTCAGTCCCATACCTTGTATGGAAATGGGACTATTGCATTCCGGAAATGAAGGGGGCGCTACTGACACTATTTTCTATCGAACACTATCAACATTAACAATACAAATTTTACAGTAAGGAATTTCTTATCTTTATTTGCACCCATCCTTTTTCTCTTTTATGCAAGTTTGTTTGTTTGTTTGAAATACGCCTCATTGTTTGTACATTGTATCATTTTGTGTGTTCTTTGTTGTTTAATAAAAAAAAATTTACAGTAAGGAAATGGCTTCACAACGTGTTATGTCACGTGGTATGTCCCTTTTTCATTTTCAAATCTTTATTAAATCTTTGTTGTTTTTGGATATTAATATTATATTACAGTAACAAACTAACCTTAGGCATTAAACCTGTGAGGTTAACCTTAGGCATTAAGCCTGTGAGGTTAACCTGAGGGTCTGTGTTTGGGGAGGTGGATAAAAGAAATAAATCAATAATGCTCTGAGTACCTCAACGTGAGTAGAAGAAACTCTCTAACTTCTTCCTTTCTTCTTCCTTTGCTCTCTTAATCCCGCGTCTTTAAGGAGCAACCTTCATTTCCGGAATGCAATAGTCCCATTTCCATATAAGGTATGGGACTGACGGAAAGGTCTGTCACCGCCCCGTTCTGCATGCTGCAGCGAAGTGTACCTCAAGGTGTGGGTGGTCCTCTGGATCTTGAGTGCCTCAGAAGGAGAAAAGTCTTCAAGGAGGCAAATGTTACTTGAGTAGAATAGAATTAATTCTCCCGGTGGTTTCTTTAAGGGGCTGGTTCATTCTGTTGTGGATTGGCAAGGAGAATGAACCCATATCCAGACGGAGAATAAAGTTTCAAAAATAAGAATATTTAATATAAAATTAAAGTAAAACGCTGACGAGGCAGCAACTAACAAAAACTCTAAGAAAACAACAAGGAAACACGGGGAGAACCAAAACAGATGATGAGACATCAAACAATGAACCAGCGAGGAAATGAGACCTGAACTGGGGTTAAATACAAACTGAGGGAATAAGGAAATTAAAAAAAAGCTGAGGAGAAAAGATGAGTAATGGCGCAAGAGAGACACAAGAGGGAAACTACAGACAAAACACAAACCCAACAGTGGTGGCATTGGAGCTTCCACAATGGGTCATACTGTATCTGAAAGAGCTTCCCATAGTGAGATACCTCCACTCAGATTTCAGAGAACCAGGGTTACCTCTCTAACAAAATAATATCAGCTGTAAGCTGAGCACTGACATGAAAATAAATTTGATTCTTTCTGGACAATCTGTAGAAGTTGATATTAATATATTTATTCTGTGTTTTTTAATACAAACAGGATCAGGACCAGGTTAGTTTCAGAGGACTTGTTACTTGTTGCAACAAAACCAAGGATTAGTTTATCCAGGATAATACACAAATCCCAGTTTAATCCCTTTTACTAGTTTGGTGAACTTTTAATGATCTGTCATGATGAGAAAATTCAATGATCAAAACACACAGAGCTGAAGGTAAAAAACTGATGTTTAGTTGGACAAACATAGAAAACCTCCAAAAGCTGCAGTGAACTGACCTCAGAACCTCCAGTCTACAGTTTGGACTCTCCAGTCCAGAACACAGAAGCTTCACTCCAGAGTCAGACAGGGGGTTCCCACTCAGGTCCAGGTGTGTCAGATGGGAGGGGTTGGACTTCAGAGCTGAAGTCACAACTTCACAGTGAGTCTCGGAGAGTAGAACATATGCAGCTCTGATGATAGAAAAATAAATCAGTTGTAATGAATTAAGCTGATCTGTCTGATAAACAGTGACGTCATCCTCTGATAAGTAAACAATGACATCATCTTCTGATAAGTAAACAGTGACATCATCTGAGGGTAAACAGTGATGTCATCATCTAATGGGTAAACATTGATGTCATCTACTGATGAATTAAGAGCTGAAGGAAATTTTGTAACTGATTAACTGAATATTAGATTCAGTATGTAAATGACCAATACATTTCTTCAATTCCCCCTGTTCACATGGCAATTTATCATGTGAACAAATAAGAACTTTTATGATATTACCCCTATATGTTTGCAGTAAGGCACTATGTGTATGGTATTATCATAAAATTTCTTATTTGTTCATATGAGTAATTGTTTGTTCACATCGCTAACAAACACATCTTTCCAGTTTTGTTTTCCCAAGTTATCCTTTAGATTTTCCAAAGCTTTTTTTGATGTGTCAATTCTTTTTTTTTCTTAATTATGTCTACTTTTGTGTTGTATTGATCATTTTTATAAATTATGAAAACTGGAAGGTGATCACTTACATCAGTAATTAAAATACCACCCATTATCTCTGTTTTTGTTATGTTTGTGAAAATATTTTCTATTATTAGGCCTAAGGTCGATGATCAATTTTGTAATCGTGTCATCTGACCTGCGGCCCTATGTCTTGGACACTCAGGTGAAGAGAGGTGAAGAGCTGTCCACTGATCACCACCTGGTGGTGAGATGGATACGGTGGCGGGGGAGGCTGCTGGACAGACCTGGTAAACCCAAACGTATAGTGAGGGTGAACTGGGAATGTTTGGCGGAGTCCCCTGTCCGTGCGATTTTCAACTCACACCTCCAGGAGAGTTTTTCACATGTCCCGAGGAAGGTCGGGGATGTGGAATCTGAATGGGCCATGTTCAGGACCTTTATTGCAGATGCAGCTTCCACGAGCTGTGGCCTGAAGGTCATTGGTGCCTGTCGCGGTGGCAACCAAAGGACCCGCTGGTGGACTCCAGTGGTAACAGAGGCTGTCAGGTTGAAGAAGGGTGCCTTCCGGACTTGGCTTTCCCAGAGGACTCCTGCAGCAGCTGACAGGTACAGGGTGGCAAAGAGGGCTGCTGCTTCTGTGGTTGCGGATGCAAAAACCTGGGCGTAGGAGGAATTCAGGGAGGCCATGGAGAAGGACATTCGATTGGCCACAAAGAGGTTCTGGCAAACCGGTCAATGACTCAGAAAAGGAAAGTGTTCCCTGTCCTAGGCTGTACCTGTCTTGGGTGGGGAACTGCTGACCAGGACTGAGGATATTGTAGGGCAGTGGAAGGAAAATTTTGAGGATTTCCTGAATACACCCTCCATGTCCACCTTTGAGGAGGCAGAGTCTGAAGACTCGGGGGAAGGCGAGTGCATTATCGTGGCAGAGATCACCGAAGTTGTCAAAAAGCTCCTTGGTGGCAAGGCACCAGGGGTGGAACAGATTCGACCTGAGATGCTGAAGGCTCTGGATGTTGTGGGGCTGTCATGGTTGACACATCTCTTCAACATCGCATGGAGCACTGGGACAACTCCTGTGGAGTGGAAGACCTGGGTGGTGGTTCCCATTTTTAAAAAAGGGGACCTGAGAGTGTGTTCTAACTGTCGTGGGTTTACACTTCTCGCCCTCCCCCGGAAAGTTTACTTCAGGGTGTTAGAAGGGAGGCTCCGATAGATTGTCGAACTTTGGATTCAAGCGGAGCAATGTGGCTTTCAACCTGGGCATGGAACAGTAGACCAGATCTTTTTTACCCTTGCAGAGTTGCCATGGGGGTCATGGGAGTTTGCTTCTCTGATCTACATGGGTTTTGTGGACTTGGAGAAGGCTTATGATCGTGTTCCTCTGGGAATTCTATGGGGTGTGCTGTGGGAGTATGGAGAGTCTGGGTCGCTATTAAGAGCGATCCAGTCCCTATATAACCAAAGAAGGAGTTTTGTTTGCATTCTTGGCACAAAGTCGAGCTTGTTCTCTGTGCATGTTGGACTCCGCCAGGGCTGTCCCATGTCTCCGATCATGTTTGTAGTGTTTATGGACAGGATGTCAAGGAGCAGTCGTGGGGAGGAGGGTCTCTGGTTTGGGGACCGCAGGGTCTCGTCTCTGCTGTAAGCAGATGATGTGGTTCTGTTGGCGTCTTCATCTCAAGACCTTCAGCATGCACTGGGGCGGTTTACAGCCAAGTCTGATGCGGCTGGGATGAGAGTCAGTTCCTCTGAATCTGAGGCCATGGTTCTCAACCGGAAAAAGGTGGAATGCCCCCTCCGGGTCGGGGAAGAGTCTCTGCCTCAGGTGGAGGAGTTTAATATCTGGGTGTCTTGTTCACGAGTGATGGAAGGATGGAGTGGGAGTTGGATCAATGGATTGGGGCCTCATCCTCAGTAATGAAGGCGTTGCCTTGGTCAGTCGTGGTGAAGAAAGAGTTGTGTCGAAAGGCAAAGCTCTCGATTTATTGGTCTGTCTTCATTCCAACCCTCACCTATGGTCATGAGGCGTGGATCATGACTGAAAGAACGACATTCCGGATACAGGCGGACAAAATGAGCTTCCTTCATAGGGTGGCCGGGCTCAGCCTTAGAGATAAGATGAGGAGCTCCATCATCCGGGTTGGGAGCTCAGAGTAGAGCCGGTGCTCCTCCACATCAAAAGGAGTCAGTTGAGGTGGTTTGGGCATCTGGTTAGGATGCCTCCTTGACGCCCCCCTTTAGAGGTGTTCCCGGCACGTCCCACTGGGAGGATGCCCCAGGGAAGACCCAGGACTCGCTGGAGGGATTATTTATCCTCTCTGGCCTGGGAACGCCTCAGGGTCCCCTAGGATAAGCTGAAAAGTGTCGCTGAGTTTCTCTCCTGGACCTGTTGCCTACACGACCTGACAACGGATAAGCGGAAGAAGCTGAAGATGGAGATTGTGGCACTATGAATTGTGATTCTTGTAGGTTTTAATATGGATAGAGATTTAGACTCTGCGTTTAATTTAAGAATGTACCAATATTATTTGTATCTGCTGTATTTCCCAGGTCAATATTGAAGTCTCCACACAGAAAATTTGTTTTGTTAGCACTCTTTTCAAAGAGCGCCATGATTTGATTGTTAAATTGCTCCATATTTGAATCTCGTGATCGATATACACAACTTATCATTATACTTTTAGAATTCTTATTTAATATTTCAATCGTAATTATTACCATAATATTATCTATTATCTATCTATATCTATTATCTAATTTTTCCCTCTGCTTCACTCTGAAATCAGACAAATATTTGACTCTTTGACTCCATTTTCTCAACCATCTGAGGCCAAGATCCACCAGGTAACATTTGTTGAAGAGCTTTGAGATGTAGAAGCTAACAGAAATCTTTTCCGTCATGTTTTAGCAGCTGCTATCTCAGTTAGCCTGTTAGCATAACTTACTTTTTTCGCCCCTGAGTTCTGACTGCTGTCTRCTGCAGGTCAGACTCTGGATCTTCACAAGGACTTCATCCAACCTGACTGCAGACAGTCTGAACATGTTAGGAAAAGAAAATGAAAACAGAAAACAGTGGAACTAGTGTGAGAATAGATTCAGCTTAAACAGTAGGGGTGTCAAGAAACCTGGCTGTGCCAGCCAATGCCATGGTTGGAAACAGGCCCACGGAGCCAGCCTTTGACCTCCAGCAGAGGAGAGGACGTGACAGGAAGAGAGGTCACAAGAAAGACCGGGACGCAGGGATACTGGGCCAGAAGGAGGACAAACGGAGAAAGAAGAGAATAAAGGAGTAAATAAGTATAATTTTGATTGATTGCAATGCTGGCAAATAATAAACAAATGTAAGGTTTAAATGCTTATTGCAAAGTGTGTATTGAATAATGTAATAGGATGATTAATGTGTTTTAATGTAAGATGGTGGGTTTAGAAGAAAGTGTTGCAGGGTTATAATGAGGAAATGTGTGTGTGACATTTAAGACGACAAGAGAACAAAATGTACTGCTGCGGAGCAGTAAACAGGATGTGCAACAAACAATGGGCCTCATAGAAAAGAGGAAGTCATCGGCTTCTATCCGAGAAGACCCTGAGAGTCCTGTGATGAGAATCAGCAGACTTACTTCATTCTGGAAAGTACCTAAGAAGTTCCAGTGAATCACATGCTGACGAGGGGAGAAAGAAGGGGGATATGCAGCCCAAAGAAGTGTATAAAAGGAGGCACTCTGGGTAGCTCTGGGTCGTCTGGACATGTCTGGAGATGGAGCAACAAAGGCAAGAAGCAACCAGAGACAAGAAGCCCAGACCCAGAGGCATCTCAGCTGAGGACAAAAGCTGCTACACTGCCCTCCAGCACTCATAGCCCAGAGACCAGTTTCAACAACTCAGCTGCTGGGAGTCTTCTGGTGACAGTCTGCTCTTCTTCATGGAGGTAAAACCACCTTTCTTCCAACTGCCTTGCCGTCTAAATTAACAGAAAATGCCACACAGCCTGATCACAAGTTTGGATCAGAATCTTAGAGCTTTTTATTYTTAYCACCATCAATTATTAATTGGTATTKTAATTTGCATAATCAAATGTGGYTTTTCCTTGCAAATTTCTAATAAACTGCTTTCAGCATGATAAAGACAGTTGCATGACTGGACATTGATTTCTGAGGTTTTTCTCTGATTTCAGAGTATGTTGTTACTCCAAAGCAACAAGGTGCTAACATATTAAGGTGTGTGTTCACTTTGAAGCCAAAAGGTAATGATAAGAGGTCATAAATTAATAAAAAGTTTATTTTTACTAGTTATGAGCCTGGGGAGATAGGATAACTCCCGTTAACAGTTCCCTTGAGACCTGCTGTCCAGGTCACTAAACATTATCTCAGTCATTGTGAGAAGTGCAGATCATATGAGGGAGTGGCTGCCGTTAACAGTGGTGTCYGGCTGCTGGAGGCGTCCTGAGCTACTGCGCTGATCCAGAGGCTGGGGGTAACGAAGGGAGCGATCACCGGAGAGAAGGCAGCTAGAGGCCGAGCTTAAAGCCTCCTGCCCCTGTCTCCTGGAGGAGACACACCTGACTCAGCCACACAGGCCACCCCAGGTGGCTGTAAGTCTGGTCTGTCACCTCTAAACCAAGAGAGAGACATTGGCTCCTTTCCAAGACCTGTCRGTGTCTTGGTGGGTAAACTGGGGGAGGAGCCACACAGGAAAACAGGGGGGCAACATTACTGCATAGAATGAAACATCTGAACTCACACAAACTTTCTGCAGTTCCTCACAGCTGGAATCAGTCTCAGTCGACCCTCCTTTGATGTGTTGTACTTCACCAGGTCCAACTCATCCAGAACCTTCTCAGACATCTGCAGCATGTAGGCCAGAGCTGAACACTGGATCTCTGAGAGTTTCTTCTCTGATCTGTTCTCTGACTTCAGGAACTCTTGGATCTCCTGATAAACTGAGAGGTCCTTCATCTCCATCAGACACTGGAAGATGTTGATGCTTCTGTCTGGAGATGCTTCATCACTGTTCATCTCCTTCAGGTTGTTAGAGATTCTCTGGATGGTACCTGGACTGATCTCTGTATGACCCAGCAGACCTCGTAACAGACCCTGGGTGGACTCCGCAGAGAGGCCATGAAGGAAGCGAACAAACAGGTCCAGGTGGCCATTTTTACTTTGGAGGGATTTCTCCATGACTCTATTGAGGAACTCATCCAGAGATGAGTATCTGTACTTCTCTCCCAGAAACCTCTTCATCACCTCCACATTGTCCTGAAAACTCTTCTCGAACTTCTTTTTTATCAGAAGCCTCTCAGTGTTAGTATTGGTGGAACAGTGGAACATGTAGACTGCAGCCAGAAACTCCTGAACACTCAGATGAACAAAGCAGTAGACTGGTTTCTGGAAGATCACACACTCTCTTTTGAAGATCTCTGTACAAACTCCTGAGTACACC